ATTGGTGGATTCTGTATCTGATCTTATCAATGAAAGGAGAGCAATCCTTAACTGAGAGTTTCTGGGAAACAATTGGAACCTCCAGATATCTCACTGGCAGAAGACCAATCTTGAACCTAGTAGATATCGTGATGATTTCAATGTTCCTTTGTGAAATTCCTGCTGCAAAAATTTCTGATTTAGTCGCATTTAGCTGAAGCCCAGATATTTTGTAGAATTTATGAAGAACAGAAATAACTCCAGCAATAGACTCTATATTTCCTTTACAAAAAATTAGAAGGTCATCAGCAAAAGTAAGATGAGTGAGCCCAATTTTTTTGCATTTTGGATGATAACCAAATAAACCTCTGGCAACAACAAGGTTAAGGAGCTTAGAAAGAATTTTCATAGCTAGAACGAAAAGAATGGGCGAAAGTGGATCACCCTGCCTAAGACCTCTTTCACCTTTGAAATATCCAATCAAAGAACCATTGAAAGAGATTGAATATCTTTCTCCAGAATAACAAGCTTCAATCCAAGTAATGAATTGAGGGGGCAGATCAATAGCTTTGAGAATGGAAGAGAGGAAACCCTAGTCCAGAGAATCAAAAGCCTTTTGAAGATCAATCTTGATAGCACACCTTGGAGAAATGAATTTTCTACCATAGCCTTTAACAAGATCCTGTGCTAGGAGAGTATTGTCAATAATATTTCTCCCCTTAACAAAGGTTGTTTGATTAAGAGTAATTAAGTCAGGAAGAATGTTCTTCAGCCTATGGAAAATAATCTTAGTTATTTCCTTATAGACCACAGAGCAACAAGAGATGGGTCTATAGTCTTTGACCTTACTAGGATTAGTGATCTTAAGAACCAGAACAATTATAGTGGAATTAAAAGCTGGTAATATGGAAGAGGTCTGAAAGAAATATTTTACAGCTTTAATCACATCTTCCCTAACCACAGACCAAGTAGTTTTAAAGAAGAAAGGAGTGTAACCATCCGGGCCAGGTGCCTTATCATTACCTTGGCTGAAAATTGCATCCTTAATCTCCTCTTCAGTGATGTTTTTTTCCAAAACTGCTAGAGCCTCAGGAGACAGGTTGAGATGGAGCAGATTTTTCAGAACATTATGATCACTTCTTTTAACATTCGAATCAGCTTTCCCCAGCTGATTTTTAAAAAATTGGATAACTTCAGATGCCATATCGTCGAAGTCCTCTAGTCTACTACCCTGATCATTCAAAATGACTCTAATTATTTCTCTCTTATTCTTAGAAGCAATTACATAGTGAAAATACTTAGAGCATTTATCACCCTCTTTGAGCCATTGGATTTTAGCCTTCTGTTTTATGAACAATTTTTCAGCATGCTCAAGAGAAGATAGCTCGCTCTGAATAATAAGCTCAGAATCAATAGAAGATGTTCTGTTAAGGGTAGAGAGCTGAATTTGTTCAAGTTCTGTTTTCTTTTGATTGGCCCTATCAGAGATGTTGCTATAGCAGTCCTTGTTTAAGTTTCTCAAGCAAGTCTTAAGAAACTTAAGTTAAGAAAGAGAGACAACATTGGATTTCCTTTCATTGGATGCTGCCAAGAATTTTGAACTTCAGTAAGGAAGTTAGGGTTCTTGGTCCAGAAGTTAAAAAAATTGAAAGGTTTGGGCCTATTAGCATGTGAGTCTTTGTTGAGCCAACCAATAGCCATACAGTGGTCTGAGGGCCCTGGAGCAAGAAATTTCACAAAGGAATTTTGAAAGGAGCTGACCCAATGAGAATTTACAAGAACTCTATCTAGTTTCCTAGCAAGATAGGAATCTTTTTGTTTATTGCTCCAAGTGAAAGTAGTGCCAAAGAAAGGGTGATCCTGAAGGAGAAGGTCATGTATAGTGTCTTGGAAATCCTTCATTTCATTGGAAATATAAGAACCCAGGTTGTCATGGTCAGAGCTTTCAAATGAGTGGAGAAAGATATTAAAGTCACCCCTAAGATCCAAGGGAAAGAGCCAATGCTAGAGTCAAGGTCTTTTAAGTGATTCCAAATATGCTTCCTTTGAGTACCATCATTGCTGCCATAGATGGCAGAGATAAAAAAAGGAATTCCATTTCTAAGAACTTTAGCAGTGATACTTTGGGCAATAGTTTGATAGAGGGTAAAGTCCAAGCCCTTTTTCCAGAGGAACCAAATCCTACCATTAGATATACAGTCATAGTTTGTGAAGCAGTTCCAAGATATTTAAAATTATAATTAAAGTTTACAACTATAATCATAAATTAAATACATAATTAAGATATTTTTATAATTATTGATACAAAAAATTAGTCACTTGAGATCGACTATACAAGAAAAAACTTAAAACTTAATCAAAAACTCAACTAAAAGATATATACAAATAGATCAATATTGAGCGATGTGAAAAACTATTAACAAAAGTAAATCGCGTATCAAAATCTTATTCGAGGGCCCAAAATAGGAAAAATCAACAAGATAACAAATAAGCGTCGATACATATTAAATTCAACCCTGAAAAAAATATAAACAAAAATAATGACCAAACGACCGATAACGTATCAGAGGTAGAAAAAATTATTCCATAAAAATAGAGTTAATACAAAATTTAAAAAAAAATAAAAGAGAAACAAAGATGTGATATAAAAATAAAAAAAATAATGAATACAGACAATCGACAATAACCCTAAGATTGATATTGTCACTTATTAACGATAACTCTAAATCAATATGCCTTTATAAGGAAGAGGAGCATTGTTGATAATACTTTGTTAGCTCAAGAACTTGTAAGAGGGTTACTCTAGGAAGTCTATGTCTACTAGATGCACTATTAAAGTTGATTTGCAAAAGGTATTTGACTCAGTTGATTGGAGATTCATTCTTTGTGTCCTTGAGGCTATGGGATTACTCTCTGTTTTTAGGAGATGGATTGAAGTTTGCATTACCACCTATCGATTCTCGGTTTATTTTAATGGCATTCTGGTGGGTTTTTTTTTCAAGGGTGTGAGGCAAGGGGATCCTTTGTCCCCTTACCTCTTTGTCCTTGTTATGAACGTTCTTTCTCATTTGCTTAATGTTGCTACCCATAATGGTGTACTTAGTTTTCATCCTAAGTGTAAAAGGATTCCCCTTACTCATCTTTACTTCGCGGATGATTTGCTTATTTTCTGCCATGGTTCAATTGATTCTATTAGGACGTCTTAAGTGTTCTTGATGTTTTTTACAAAATATCTGGGCTGAATCTAAATTCTAGTAAGACAGAGTTATTTTCTTGTGGTGTTGGGAACAATGTCTCTAGTGAAATTCAAAGCATGACAGGTTTTAAGCATGACAGACTACCTGTGAAGTATTTGGGTATACCGCTTGTGACTAGAAAGTTTACTGAGAAAGAGTGTTATCCCTTGATTGTTAAGGTTAAAGAGAAACTTGGTGTTTGGTCGAGGAAAAGTTTCAGCTATGGTGGTAGGCTGCAACTGATTAGAGATGTTCTATTTAACATTTCGAACTTCTGGTGCAGGCAAGTTATTCTTTTTAAGGGGTTTATTAGAAGGATTGAGCAGATGTGTATGCGTTTCTTCTGGAAGGGTCAAGATGATCATGCCTAGTGTGGTGCTGCGAATTGGTTGGAAGCAAATTCGCTCGTTAAAAATAGAGGGGTCCCTGGGGCTTAGGGATTTACTATGTTGGAATAGTACGTGCAGTTTTCAGCTCATTAAATGTATCTTTGCTGAGGAAGGCTCTCTTTGGGTGGCTTGGATCAACATGTATATTTTTAAAGGTGTCGATTATTGGCAGGTTAAGAGCAAGTCTTATTTTAGTTGGACCTTGAGGAGACTACTGAAGATGAGAGATGAGGCTAGAGTTTTGTTTGGAGGTGTTGTGAGTTGGGCGATTGTTTCTAATCGGTGGATTTGGGATAAGATTAGAAGCAGGAGGCCTAAGGTGCAATGACATAGGGTTGTTTGGTTTTCCCTCCATATTCCCAAGCACTCGATTGTGGCTTGGATGATCATCTTCGATAGGGTTCCTACCAAGGAGAGACTTGCAAGAATTGGGGTGGCAACGAATAATATATGTAATCTGTGTGGGGTTCATGTTGAGACTCGGGATCAACTTTACATGGAATGCCAATTCTCTTGTGAAATTTGGACCAGGATCTTGCAACTTTGCAGTCTGCAGTGGAACATTACTGATTGAAGTAGTGCTTTGCAATGGATTGTTGAAAAATTGAAAGGTAAGTTGCTTATAGTTTGTATCCTCAAATTGGTTTGGGTGAGGTTTTTGTATTTTGTATGGGAAGAACGTAAGTTTAGGCAATTTCGAGGGATTTTTAGATCTATTGAGAAAATTTTTGAATGTGTTAGAGGGGTTGTGAAGATGCGTTTACAGGTTTGTTCTATCGATAGGCTTGATGGGGTGAACTTTGTTCTATGTAATAGGTGGGAGATCTGATTTGGATTTGCTTGACTCTGTCTGTTGTAGCAGCTTTGCTCTTTCTTTGGATTAATCTACGATTGAATTATCCAAAAAATATAACAAGCGACTTAATAGAAAATCTATAAAAAAATAGAAGAAATAGTTAATCATTATATAAAAGTAAATATGAATAAATTTCACGTATGATGATATTTAAACTTAAACCCTAATAAATGTTTGAATTAGTTAACACATACATAAATATGTGTAAAAAATAGCTAGATAATCACGATTTTATCTTTTAAAACAAGGAATAATGCTTTATTTAAATAAAAATAATTAATATTACAAAAATGAAAAGATTGAGGGATTTATGAAATTAAAATGAGTTATTTTGTACCGTTGCGTGTTTACCATTTCAAAGCTTGTCCTCCTCTCCAAAGGGACAATAATGCACGCACGAATGGGCCCGAAACAGAGGATTATTTAAAACTGATTTCATTTTTTAAATGAAGGGAAATTCGGTCTAAAGTCAGGCAGCTTGACCAGGCAGCCTCTGTAATTTGGAAGCATTAGCCGGCTGCTAACGAAACACAGTTTGAATTTCTCTTATCATCAGCCCAGCCCCTGCGGATTCATCTCACCGTTGTTTGCTTTTAGTTCCTTCATTTATTTCTTGACCCCATTACTCGTATCTTTTTCCTATATATCCGTGTCTCCACGTTCTAACATTTCAGCTCATCAGCTTTATTCAAAAAGCTCTGCAATTTGCACGCAGGCAGGAGACCATAGTTTTTTCTATTAAGAACCTATCGCTATGGAAGCTTACTCTTCTTCTTCTTCTACTGCTGCTTCTGCTTCTGCTTCGGGTTGGGAAGAATCAAGAGGGTTGAAGGCACCACAGGCTGGATCACTCCATTCCGTGCGTAAGCCATTGTCAAAGCCCTGGAAGAAGCCAATTGCACCATTTCCTCCAACTCCACCTAAGGTCTACACGGTCGACCCTTTAAACTTCCGGGACTTGGTTCAAAAGCTAACCGGTTCACCTGAGTTCATGTCCCCATCTCATATCTCCACGTCCACAACTCACTTTGAGGTGCCTCATCATCAGCGTCTCCAAAGAGTGGCACCTCCCCCTCTTCACGTTTCAGCACCTCCACTGTCCAGAGCTGAAGTTTCTGCACCATTGAATATGTTCTCGGGATTAGATCACAGCAACCACAATTACTCTAATACTTCGAAGGACACCTTTACATCAAATTCACTCGGAGTGAACTTGTCGCCATCTTATAATTGGTGCACTTTCCCCATTCTCAGTCCCGGTACACTGGCCAGCTTGGAACAAAGCACTGTTCCTTAGATTACATACATGAAGCTAGCTAGCATCAACACTTGATTGCTTTATTATATGTATAAGCTGATAGTTTAAATCATGCTTAAAGAGTGTCTGTAAGATTAAAACTACATTGTCTTGTTATTTTGGTTTACGTATATGTCGTAGAAAAAGCTTCATCTCTTGATCTTTCTAATGTATGCTAGTTTACCTAGTCGTAAACAAAGCTATTTGCTTATATTGGCTTCAAAAACAGTCTCCCAAGAATATAGTTTATCGCATTTTGTTTTTGATGGTGTGCTACTTCGTTAATCAGTTTGCTAACGTTGCACCGAATATTTTGTGAACATTGAAGAATTTCTGGGGTCATTCGGGTAGGAAATATGGTGTAAAAGTGCAATCCTGCATGCATTTTCTCCTCGAGAACTTGCAGCCTGCGCATGGAAAATATGGTGCAAATGCAACATTTTTTTATTTTTATGTTGAGAATCCATCTAAAGGTTGTTAATGATATGAATTTTTTATTTTTGAAAGAATGAAGAGCCTCATTAAAGATCCCTTCTAGTCCTGTAAGGGGAAAAGAATACCCGGTAGATGTATTACCCAAAATCAATGTCATTGGATACATCAAATAGGATGACCTCAGGATAAATCGAGTCAAAAAAATAAGGTACGCCAATAACTAAGAGCACAAGAAGCTTGTAACATCCCAAAATACGGGTTAGTGACTAAATTGTAAAACTTTAGATTTTGGTGATTTAAATTGGATATTTGAATAGTTCAATGATTTGTTCAGAAATATTTCCTAAAAGTTTATAGTAATTATCCAAAGAATTAAAGGGCAAAATGGTCATTTAGCATGAAAGATATTTTCCCCCAATTATATGAATGAATCACGTGGGATGGGGGAAAGAGTTATCTGAAAACTCTTTCTTCTTCTTTTCTTCTTCTCCCAACCGTGGAAGCTAGGCAAAGGTAAGGGTTTTCTGATTTGTTGGTTATTTGTTAAATTAAAGGTTAGGTTTTGATCATTAGATGATAACTAAGCTTAAGGAAAGCTTAAGTTGTCTTATAATCAAAAGATGAAGAAGTTATAAGAGATTTAAGAAAACGAGTTTTTATATGAAATCATGGAAAATAGTTGATAAGTCGAATTTGAAGTTAAATTTGACTTGTCATCATGATAATTAAGGAATATGAAGTGTTAGAATTGTATTTAGAACATATTGAAATTTGAGTATGATTCTTGAATTTCATATGAAGGATAGGATTTTGAAGTTTTAGATGATTTTCATGGATATAAGTTGGTTTAAGTAATGGTAGTTGAGTTCAATGACATGATAGGGGTTTAAAATAGAAGAATTAAGTGAAGAATTGATGATTTTCGGGGTTAAAATACAATTTCTGGGTAGAGGGAACCGATACCCTATGAATGGGAATCGATTCCCCCTCTTGGACGAAATTTCCAGAATGTCCAGGGGTATCGATTCCCCCTGGGGGGTATCGATTCCCCCCTAAATGAAAAATGGAATTTGGTTCTTTAATCTGGCTTAAGTTGTTAACATTAAGTTTAAGGTTTAGGCTTCTGATAGTTGTTTTGAAATGTTATATTTATGTATATATTGAGTCTAAACAAGTTCCGGAATAATCAAAGGATTAGGATCGAATCAAAGAAAACAAGGCTAAGGTGAGTGCAATTTTAATTGTACTTATATTATTGAACGGACATTGACTTGCGATGAGTCAGTGATGGAGTTATTATGGTAAGAAGTGACTCCTAAAATGTTATTTAATTTGTGATTCTTATATGTGCATGAATACATGAAATGAGTATAGGTTATTATATATGTTGCATGATATGCATAAACATAAGAGCATAAAACATAAGATATATGATATGATATACATGATTATATGCATATGTGATATATGCTATGAGACATGACCAATGTGAAATGAGATAAGTTATGTGAATATATGAAATGATATATGAATATGCAATACGTGATACATGTGATATGATATGAAATACATGGTTACACATACATGTGGTATGTGACAGAAAAGAAAGAACAAGTGATGAGAAAAGTATTCATCGTAAATGCCCATAGTATATGATACGAGAGCTATAGGTATAGTTGGCATGCCAAGAGTCGAGGGTATTGTAGTCCTTCGGGACGTAGTCCTTCGGGACATAGTCCTTCGGGACGTAGTCCTTCGCAACGTAGTGGTCCTACGGGACATATATAGCAGTCCTTCGGGACGAATACTGAACAAATGTTCGGTGCCCCATGAGGGAATTTATACGAGCTGTGGTGACAACATTGGTGCACAACCTCAATATACTCACATACCTCTATTCTCAATAATATACATGTGCAATACAATTGAAAGATAAATTAAAATGAAAGTGATACAAGAAGGTAAGTTTCATGTGTGCATGGCATTATTATATATATGTCATGAAATATATATATATATGCATATTGAAATGTCATGATCAAATGGTAAGAATGCATATTTATGAATCTATTGTTACATGTTCATTTATTGTCTCACTAAGTCTATGACTTAGCGTGTAAGTGATTTACACGTAGGTACCAAGAAACAAGAAGAGCAGTAATAGAAGTGGCAATGATATTATCACTACTAGAAGATCAGATCAGAAGTAATCGAAAAAGTATGTATTTTGTTGTGTATAGAGTGTTGGCATGTAATAAGTCGTTAATTATGAGCACTCTGATCGAGTTTGTATTTTGTAGTCTCTTATATGTAAATTAAAGTATTTTGTTTTAAACAAAGTTTTTTTTTTAAATTCCCGGGGATTTTCTTTAAGTGTCAAGGTTTTAAAAGTCAATATGACACCACGGACTCGTATTCGGGTCGGGTACGGGTTGGGGTGTTACAGTTAATGGCATCAGAGCTAAGGTTTAGTCGATTCTCGGCATAAACCGGAGTCTAGAGTGTTTTATAAGGTGTACATGCCAACAAAATAGTGAAAACTTCTGATATGATGGAATAGTAAGTGTACTGTCATGCTAATAGAATTAAAATACTATGTTATATTAGATATATGATCATAAGAGTTTCTAAAGTGAAATACAAGGTGATAGACCTGAAGGTAATAGCATTCACCTGCCCTGGCCAGGCAGGGAGAAGAGCAAAAACCTCAGGGAATGCCTATATAAGATTAGAGAGTGATTCATGATGTTGAATGATATTATGATGTGTTTAAATTTTATACTTCTATAATTCATAGAATTAATGTATTGAAAAGAGTTGAGAACACCCGAGTTTAAGGGGTGAATTTGAGAAATGTTCCATTGTTATGGAAATTTGATTAAATGGTAGGAAGATAATATTAGAAAATTTTCATTTCTCCAAAGTGGAGAAGTTAAATTGAGTAGTTTTATTACTACGTAGGTAAGCTAGAAGTATGGTGAATAAATGTCACCATAAGAATGTTAAAATATCAAGTGACGTGGTTATCAATTGTAGAAGAATTTATGAATAAGTACATGAATGATCAGTTCATAAAACAAATGAAGATCGAATATATGAGATTAACAAAGAAGTTACACATGCATGTGTATGAGTATAAGTTTAATAAGTTAAACAGATTTATTGTTGTGTTAATTTTGATTAGGAAGGATAAGGAAGAACATGTGATTGGTTGTTTAGGGCTTACGCCTTAAATTAAAAAAAAGTGTTATTGGTTTTGAAATTGTTCTCATTTCTAGAAATGGATAATCGTGTTAAAGCTCTAGGGAGAATTAAGAATAAAAGGATTGGACAACAAAAATCTCAGATGATTAAGAGAATTAGTGCTTTATAGAGTTAAGTACTATCAATGAAAGATAGAGATTCTAGCTTTCAACTTCAAACCAGATATGAATTAGTTGCATTCTCCGCCAGAGAATCAAATCAGATGAGAGTCAGACATACTAAAGCGGTAGGGTCTGATATTTGAATATTAAATAAGGAGTTAATTGATAATAAGTCAGGGTTAAAGACAACCTTTGTGAATTAGGTTAAAAGCTCTGTTAGAAGTTATGAAAATTGAAGCAGGAAAATAATTATTTTAAAGGAATATAATGATTTTAAGTATGTGTATGTGAGATAAGGATTTGAATGTTCAAGAGAAGATATAGAGTAATAGAAAAGTTTGAGAATGAGTAAGTGGGTGAACAATTTATAAGATAAAGGAAGTTATAACGTTTGATTTTTTTAAACAGAAAAATAATATTGCGTGTGAGTAAAAGTCCGAGTTTGAAAAGATAAGTAAGATATAAAAAAATTGATTGAAAATATGGTATATGATTGAGTGGATAAGGGTTGTACCCTAGATTAAAAGTTAAAGATTTCGTTTAAAAATTGAATGTGATATTAAATAATGTTAAAGGATATCCACTATTCTAAAGTGGAGAATTTAGATGAGATAATTTAGTTGCTATGCGGTTGAGATAAAATATGGTAAATAAATGTTATAATGGGAATAATGGAAGATTAATTGATGTGAATATTGTTTCGGAAAAAGTTTAAGAAATAGATATGTCAGTAATTATTGTATAAGATGGAAGATGTTGAAATGTTGATAGTGAACAAATAAAATTTCATGATACATGAGAATGAATGTGGATTTGATAAGTTAAGTAAACTATGGTTGAGATAATTCTGATTGGAAAAAAAAGGGTATATGATTAATTAATTAATTGGAAATTGTGCACTAGATTAAATAGTTGTTATTGACTATTTGTAAGAGTAAAGGTGATAGAGTTAAAAGATTGGAAGAAAATATAAAGTGAATTAATCAAGTATGATATGGATTTGAATATGGTTAGGTATGTGGATCATATATATATATATATATATATGATTAAGGCAATGAGAAGAGTATTTACAGGTTTTAAAAGGCGCTTTGAGGAATAAAAATAATGCAAGTATAAGAAATGATAAAGAATAAAGTTATGTGAAAATAATGTTAAATATTAAGATTATGAAAATGTGATAGATATTATTAATCAGATATAAGTACAAGTGTTATTATGATGTTTTTCATATAGATATGGAAAACGTAATGGAGTAAAAAAATGAATGAAATGATTTATATTGCA